AGACTGGATTAAGAAAATGTGGCACATATACACCATGGAATACTATGCAGCCATAAAAAAGGATGAGTTTGTGTCCTTTGTAGGGACATGGATGCAGATATTAACTCTTTGAATACTGGATAGTATTATGTCCAAGTAATAGGGCGTGCTGACGTGGGAGGGCATTTTGTATCTGTTATCTAATTTCAGACTCTCTCCTTACCCTTTATCCCATTTAGGCACTGTTTCAAATACTAAGAATTCTTCCTATGCCTGGCGAGGCCCTGACTCTACATTTTGATCGCACACTCATCAAGGACAGTATTTAAGTTTGATTTCACAGAATAATATTTATTATGTATGCCCATACCAAAAAGTGGAAAGGAAGAAGAAATAGTAATTTCTGCAAATGTTGCTAGTTATATCTCTTGTCACAGTAACTCAAATGGCATCTAGATTTACACAGTGATTACTCTAATGTGGTGGTTCTTAACCTTGGCTGCATGTTGAAATTAGACTGGGGGCTTGATATGGTTTGGCTCTATGTCCCCACCCAAATCTCATCTCGAATTGTAATAATCCCGGAGTGTTGTGGGAGAGACCCAGTGGGAGGTAATTGAATCATGGGGACAGGTGTTTTCTGTACTGTCCTCCTGATAGTGAATAAGTCTCATGAGGTCTGATGGTTTTATAAAAAGGAATTCCCCTGCATATGCCCTCTTGCCTGCTGCTGTGTAAGACGTGCCTTTGCTTCTCCTTTGCCTTCCACCATGATTGTGAGGCCTCCTCAGCCATATGGAACTATGGGTTATTTAAACCTCTTTCCTTTATAAAGTATCCAGTCTCAGGTATGTCTTTATTAGCAGCATGAGAACAGACTAATACAGAGCTCTAATAAATACTGATATCTGGGACCTACTCCTAAAGACTTCGATTTAATTTGTCTGAGGTAATATCTGGATATTTGAACTTTTAAAGTTTTCCAGGTGACTCTAAAGTGTAGCCAAGATGGCGCAGAGGACTGTGCTGGGGCAGGGTAGGTGAGGAGGAGGAGGCGGCGATTCGATAAGAAGGGAGGGGAAGAGGCCATGGCCGCCCGGTGAGGCGGTGAGGCAGGAAGGAGGCCCAACCACTGGCCGGGCCTTAGGCCCCAAGGAGAGGTGAGAATGGACCAACGGACATGGGGTTCTGGAGAAGCCGCCCCCAGAGAATGCGTCCCTGAGAGACTGCCTGACCACCCCTCTCTTTCTCCCCACTCCCCCATTCCTCCTTCTCCACCCCCAACCCCCCGCCCACCTGCTGTGCTATGAACAGTCAGAGCCTCCTCTCCACAAGAGTTTACAAATGAAAATGGAGGAAATGCCTTTGTCTGGCCTGAATAACAGCAAGCTAGAGGCCATAGCTAGGGAAATATAAGCGGACCTGGTCTAGAATTCTTGTTCGGGATTCTGCTTTGAGGTACATCAGGCTGCCAAGTGTGGCTACTTCTTCCTGGATGACATGGACCCTGATAGCGTGAACGATTTTGGTTTTCAACCAGTGGGAGAGCAAGGAGTGTGTCTGCCTTGGTTGCAACTGTAGCAATCCTGCCCTCGTTTTGCTCCCCATCTGGATAAGTGCCTGGGAATGGGTGGGAATAGCAGTCGAATCGCCAACCACCGGATTGCCAATAGCAACAATATGGGCAAGTCTGAGAGTGACCAAGAGGATAATGATGACATCAACGACAACGACTGGTCCTATGGCTCAGAGAATAAAGCTGAGAAGAGAAAATCAGGCAAGAACCCCGATTCCCCTCGAAGATCTGAGTCTTTAAAATGCAAAAATGGGGAACTTAGTGATTTGATTTTTTTTTAAGTATAACAACTCAACTGGGATCAGCTATGAAACCTGGGGCCAAAGGAGTTTCATATCCTGCTAAGCATGCAATGTAGGGTGATTTCTGAAGATACCAAGAAGATGTGCACAAAGTCCCTGCACTGCCCACAGCACACAGATGAGCAGAGGTGAACCTTGCAGATGTATTTCTTCAGGGCCTCAGCTGTCCATCCAGAGGTGGAGAGTTCCCAGGATAATGACAGTTTTGATATGACTGACAGCCAGGCCCTGATCAGCCAGCTTAAGTGCGACTGTTTCTCTGATCTCTCACCCTCTGATTCAGGCTCCCCCAAGACGAGGGAAAATCAGGGATGGGGTCTAGGTACCAACAGCTCTGAGACACAGAAAACGTAGAAAAAGGAGTCCCATATGAGCCTGACAGGGACTTCCTCCGACCTGGGCTCCAACAAGAAGCCAAAGTTACCGATACCCCTGATGGCCAACATCTATGATGACATCAACTGACTTCAGTGCAAGAGATAGCCTTTGGCTGAGCAGAACCCTCTCTCCTGATCCCTACCCAGGTGCCATAGCCTGGCAAATGAATGGCTGCTGAGGGTTGGGGCTTGGGAATCTCGGTGTGCCAGGCAGGCAGAGGATCTGATTATGTGCCCCTGGGGGATGTCAAGGTCCTCTACAATGGAGCACAATTCCTCGGCGTGCATGACTCAGACCTGGACATATTATGCCTTGGACATAAGTTTGGTGGGGAGGCTGTTTTTCTATTTATTCTGTGAGTTACTGAATGTCCAGCTAGGCCAGGGGCCTGACTGGGCACTGTGTCAGGGCACTGCCTGTCCCCCACCGTAGGAATTGGACTAAGCCTGCTGAGGAGCAATGTGGTGGTCTGGAAGGCTGTGGGTTGGAAGCTGAGCCTGAAGGGGGCCTGCCCTCGTTGCCCTCAGCAATGTAAATGGGTCCAGTACTTGGAGCTGAGGGGCAAGGATGGGCATGTCCTGTCTGTGAGGAGGGTCCTATCAAATGTCCCCAGTCCCAGGGGTAGGCAGGCACAGAGTACTCTCTGCTGAGGTGGGCATCCAGAATTGCCGCCACCTTCCCTGCCCTTCACAGGGACAGCCCTTTCTCCTTAGTCCCCAATGACTTCCTTGGCAGCAGGAGCTGTCCTTTTGTTGTTGGGTGCCAAGAAAGGACCTCCAGCCTCTACAACTTCAAGGAATCGGAAAGGGAGGATATGGAGAGGGAGCTGTGTCAGAATTACTCCCCATGAGACCCAGGGCTGGTGAGGAGTGGGGCCCCAAGGTGCGAGGGAACTGTGCTGCTTTATTTGAAATGTTTTCTTACCTCATTCCCTGCCCCAGGAAGGGGCCCAGCCTCAATCTCCTGGGGTGACCCTGTGTTCTTCCTACCCACCCTGCCCCACTGCCCTACCAGGGTAGCCCAAGTTCCCAACTGCTGCTTGCCACCCCCCCTTCACCTTGACTGGCTTCTCTTCCTATCTCAGAGCTCCTGCCTCGAAAGCCCCCCATTTCCCTTCCTTAGTGCTTTTAAGTTATTTATTCTGTACTTGTGGTTTGGGACTCTGAGGAAAATCGTATCTTGTGCCTCTTCCCCCTTTGCTAGGATTTCTGTGGGAAGAAAGGGTGGCTTCTGTGTTCTGCGTTGTCAGTGGAGGGGAAGAGGTATCGATTACCCTTCTGTGGGACTGTCAAATGCCAGTGTGCCCACCTGCCTTGTCTACATCCTAAAGAGATGTACCATCCACCCTCCATGCGGGCACCACTATTCCCAGGAGCCAAGCTGGAAGACTACAACCTGGGCTGAGAGCAGAGCTGACTGACACGGGTGGAGGTGATCCTGAGCCAAGTTCTCTGGCACTTGCTGGACATGTCCCCTGCCCTCTTCCCAAGAGGAGCTATCCTACATTTGGGTAGTTAGTACCCAGGATTGGTTGGACTGATTGGGTTAGAGACCCTAGGGGGTTAAGGGAACAACAGAGATGGGGCTACAGCACCCTGTTTGGAACCCCACTGTCCCCCTAGGGTGATTCTGACTCTGTCTGATGCCTGGTTACAAATTAGTTTTTGACCCACAAATTGTGATTATTTTTAAAAAAACAGATTTTAGCAGGAGTTAGAATAAATCCTGGGGCCTTGACTCCTCTGTTCTTGACCCCATAGCCTTCTTCCTCCCAGGGGAGGCCAGAGATAGAGGAGAATCTCACCAGGCCTCCAGCCTCCTTCCAGATGCATTCTTGGGAGTAGGCGGAAGGTGAAGGGAGGAAGGCTGTGGGCCACTGTCCCTTCTGAAAGACAGTTGCAACTCAGGCCCTAATACATCCTTTTCTCTTCTCTTTTTCCCCCTTCTGGTTAGAGGAGGGAGAAGTGGGAAGTAGTTTGGGAACCGGTTTGTCCATATAAACTTCCCCGTTGTTCCTTGGCCCACCCTCAGGGCAGAGCCCCCTGCCCAGACTGGGTAAGAGATGGGCTTTGCAGCACCCTGAGGGAAAAACCCTTTTCCTTCTGAAAAGAGAGTTTCCCTGTACCATGTAGTTGAACAGTGGCTAGGAGCTTCCCACTCCCCTCCCTCTTACAGCAGGCTGTATAGACTTCAATTCCTATCCTTCCCATCCCAGCTAGGTGTCATCTGCCCTATGTCTGTATCCTATCATGTGTCTGAGTGTGTGTGTGTGGGGGGGGGGGGGCGGGGGCGGTTATTCTCTACTAATTTCCATGGCCAGTGGCTTTTCCTTCCATGCATCACTCCCACCCCCAACCCCTACATACTCTGGGGCCACCCGCCTGGGATTACCACATGCTCGGGTGATTGAAGGAGTGGGGTGGAGCTCACGCTGTCCTGTCGTCTTGAGATTTTTATTTTTGCACGTGTAATTCATTCTGTACAGGTAGCTAACTCTGTAAATGCTATGTATTCCCTCTGCCCCCATGGCTGTTTTCTTGAACTTCATCTCCTATTGGTAAAAAATAAAATAAAATAAAATAAAACAAAATAAAATAAAATAAAATAAAAAATAAAGTGCAGCCAAGACTAAGCGACACTGTTTTACACCTTTGATTAATTTGACACTATCAGAATTGATAATGGTGACTGCTTGGATCCATAAATTTGAGAACCTACCCTGAAGTAGTAGGAACCAAATCAACTCTTAAAGCTCCATCAACCAGCAACAGCATGGACATGTGCCCAACATAGCATGAGTAGTACACGTTTCTTCCAAGTACCAAAAAGATATAAAATGTTTATCAGGGCTTTGGAAAAATGAAATGCTCTTTAAAATGCCATATATATATATATATATATATATGTATGTATTTACATATCAGTGATATGTAACTCTCACTTCAAGAGATTATAGCAAAGGAAGACAGCCAGATGAAAATATTATTAACTGAATTTTTCCTTGCAATAGCTTCCAAAATGGAGATGAGCAGCAGCTGCATTTGAGTTAAGTGATTCATATATATTGAAAAGGTAGCCTCTACTGTTTGACACTTTGCACCTCCTCACATGGCTCAGCATCAGTACAGTTCCATTAAGACAGTTTGCCCCAGGTATCTCAGCCTTTAGATCTGCCTGCCTGTTCAGATCTGCTGGCACAACCTCAGTAGTGCCAGCCAGGAACAGCCTTACAAAGAATCATTAAATTTAATGTCATCACTCTTCATCTAGGTGACAGTGACCAAGTCAATCAAAGATGTGCAAGTGGTGGTGACCTCTGCGACTCTGGGCACTCTGGCGACTCCTGTTAAGTCTGTCTTGTTTATTTCCACATGTCTTCTCTGTCCCACAGTTACATTGCTACACCACCCTAGTTGCTCCATGGGAGTGAAGGGCTGATTTCACTATTAGGTTATTCAGGACATTTTTCCATCTAAGTCAGCACACCCTCAGTGAGTGCTCGAATTTCCCAACTCCCCAGTCATGGGGTTGACTATCATAGCTTACTAGAATAGTTAGTACTTAGGAAGAAAACCTACTTAGTACTCTCAAAAAGTGTTCTGGGTCATGAGACCATAACCTGTAAAAGAAGGCTAACGGAACTGTGATTATATACTACAGAGAAGAAAAGACCTGGGGAGGGAGTACTTGGGGAAAGGGATATCTTTGCAGTCTGTAATATTGGAAGCTATGCCAAAAAACACCTCATTTGGCACCTGCTAAGACTTTAATGTGCTTAGTTGCCATGGATAGATTACCTACACTGGGAGTTACTTTGTTTCTGTTTTTGCTTTTTTGAGACAGAGTCTCTCTCTGTTGCCCAGGCTGGAGTGCAGTGGCACGATCTCGGCTCACTGCAATCTCTGCCTCCCAGGTTCAACCTCCCGAGTAACTAGGACTACAGGCACATGCCGCCATGCCCGGCTAATTTTTTTTTTTTTTTTTTTTTTTTTTGTATTTTAGTAGAGATGAGGTTTCATCATGTTGCCCAGGTTGGTCTCAAACTCCTGAGCTCAGGCAATCAGCCTGCCTCAGCCTCCCAAATTTCTAGGATTACAGGTGTGAGCCACCGCGCCTGGCGAGATTTCTTTTCTGATTCCGGAATTCAAGGTGATCTCTCTCCTTTCTACCCCTGGACTATTTAGTATATATTACAGGGCACTTACTATGTGTGGCCTAAAATTCTAGTTAGTTGTCATGCGTCTGTGTTTCCCTCTGGATTTTGGGTTTTCTGAAAGCAGTATTATTTTGTACTCATTTTTGTATTTCCAGTGCCAGCTCAGGGTCAGGCACAGAGTAGGCATGCAGGAACTAAATGAATAACATGAACAAAAGAATACATTCCCTAGCAGTGAGCAGTTTTATAAATTGGACAGTGCTTTCAAGAAAACTTGTAGAGTCTTATTCCTTGGAATATATGACCTCTAAACTTTACATGGCAGATTTTATTCCTATTTGAGTACTGCAAAGGAAGAAAATTAACTACAAGATCTTAGAATGTTTATACATTCACCCATTCAATAAATATTTATTGAGCTCCCAAGGTTTCAAGCCAATTTCTAGGCACTTGTGACATATCAGGAAATGAAATACACAAAATCTCTACCTCACAAAGTTTATACTATAGCAGATAGTAAAAATTAGAAGTAAATTATATTTACGTTTCCTACTTTTATCTGCCTGATAACTGCATATGTCCAGGTTTAAATCCTAAGATAATGAAACCTGATCATGAGGAGGAGCTGGTGAAGCATTTTGAGGACTGAGAAAAGACAATAAAATTAGACTGTTTGGGATACATTTAAGCATAAATTTGAGATAGGTAGACCCATGACAAGACATTTGTAGCAGTCCAGATGTGAGCTACACAGACCCTCAATGAGAAATTTGACTATGAAGATGAAGAGGAGAATAGCACAGCTAGGCACCTGAAATATGGGGCAAAAGAGAATGGAAGAGTAGCTCCAAGATTAGCTACAAGGTAACAGAAAGTATAAGCACAGGAGCAGGAGTAAATTTAGAACGTTTATATTGATTGTGTCCACAGG